AGAACAGCATCTGGCGAGGATTGTTGCCTTGCCTATCATCAAGAAGCATGCGGGCGTTAGTCTGTTCTGCCGCCCTTCTTTGATCATACTTGCGGACTGACTAGTAGTAGATAATCTGAGCAATGTGCGTCTTCTGTTTGCGTACTGTTTGGCTTGCCAAATCGTCAGCACTTACCGCGCATATGAAATATACCAAAACTTCGACAGCTGGGCCGCTCTAAACCGCAAAGACAAGTTCTTCATGACTTGGGGTGTTGCCTCTACCGTGCTAATGGCCTTTTTTTACGGTTTCTTACGCAGTGCTAGAATGCGGGATAAGATATAGGAAGAGGAGGGAAATAATAGATTGATGAAGTCGCTGCGCTTTGCGATTTAAGGCGATATGGAAATTAATACGCAACAACACCCCTGATTGTACGACTATTGACCTTTGGAGAAACTTAAGTTTGAATGTTCTATAGTAATTGGCCTGCTCGCCTGAACACTTGCTTAAATTTGTCAGGAACATCATATTTACCAAGAATAACGTCAACCAGTTTTAGACCTTTCCCGCTGCGAAATGTTTGATCTTCTAACAATGTGTCAAGATCACCCCATGTCTCAATTCGATGTGTTTGTACTGGATAATCACTAGGTTGGCCAAAAAAATGCGGCGCAGCCAAGTAATTCCAAGGTGCGATGTCGTTGTAGACCTCATTCATGCCGTGAATCTGTCTTTCGTAGGCATACCCGCCATTGTTGATGATGAAAATTGTCATGTCCAGTCGTTCGCGAATGATCGTGCTTAGCTCTTGCGCAGTTACCTGGAAGCTGCCGTCTCCTTCAAAAAGGATTGTGCGTCCCGTGGTCTGCGCGAGAGCGGCACCTTGTGCTGCTGGAAGCATATGTCCGATAGAGAACCAAATGCCAGATGCAAGAAGCTTCACTCTGGGAGGTAGTACCAAGTCTCGCCCGCCTATCACTGTAGTTGCATTTGCTAGTATAACCACGTCGTCAGGTTGGAGATAACCTGAGTCGTTCAATTTCAAGTACAAGTTTGTCTGGTCGATAGGGTCTGATGCTGTGGTGGGATGTGCCACTACTTCTCGGAAATTCCCAAGCATGTTGGTGTTCCGTTGTGAGATCTCTGTCGAATCCAATAGCTTGGAAAGCTCTTGTATTACCTGTCGAGTGTCAACCAATGTTCGATCGACGGATGTGTTCCCGATCGTGATGATTTGATTTGTATCTGGAACCCCGGTCCATCCCAATGTTTGCGTATCTGAAAACATAGGTCCTAGTGCGAGAACGAGATCCGATGACTCTAGGTAAGGAAAAGTGTCGATTTGACCCACAGGCCCCGAGTGTACACCATAGTAGTTTGGTAGGGAGGTGTTGACCATACCAGCCCCGGATGGCATTGTTAGCGTAGGAATGCCGGACGCCTCTACGAACGAATTCACCTCATCTCTCATGTTCTGTAGACCGAGGCCACGATCTACCAATAGTAACGGCTGTTTCGCAGCGTATATCCTTTTCAAAAGAGACTGAACCACAGGCCCAACTGCTTCGCTATTGTCACTGCCGTCATGCCCGCGCAATCTGTCCCCCAATCTTACTGCATCAACATCTATGTTGACCATATCGCTGGGAATGTCAATGTACACGGGGAGACTCCGATGCATGCACTCCTGAATAATCTTATCGACTGATTCCGCCGCTGTGTCAACATTGTCTAGGCGTGTCTGAGCTACTGTCACGCTCTTCGCCATCTCGCTGAAGACGTTGTGACTTGAAGCTCCGAAGCTATGATGGATGTGCACATTTCCTCGCCTCGTCGACTCTTGTAGCATCTTCGTAGACGGTGTAGTGACAATGTGTACGACGGGCACGTGCTCAGCATAGCTCCCAGCTACGGCATTGATCGCCGACAATTCACCAACACCGTAGGTCGTAAGCAGGGCACCGAGTCCGCGAACGCGGGCATATCCGTCGGCGGCATAGCCGGCATTGAGTTCGTTGCAATTGCCGACCCATTTCAGGCCGCTTGGGCGGATCTGATCCAGCGCCTTGAGACCGAAGTCCCCGGGAACACCATGAATGGCATGGACGTTCTGTTGCGCTAGTCGGGTGAACAGGTAGCGGGCGAGGGGAATTGTTCTCGGCATCGTGATACGCGCACTCACCAACAGCTCAGTCGTGGTTGAAGAAAATGGAGGAGTTTAAGAGAGGCCATTAAGCATTTTATGTAGTTGATGTAGCATTCATTAAGTGGAGAAAAAATGACAATCGTAAGAATCTAAGTGATCCATCTGTGGTTTCAATAACATTACAGTCTGGCACAGCACAGGCTAGACTCATCTGGGACTGTCTTCGGGGGTTTGCGAGCTAGATTATAGAAAAGTGAGCTTCCCTCAGCAATAAAGCAAAGATTTAAAGCAACCGCAAGTGCGCACGTCATTCTGCCATATTCTTCTAATGAACTTTGATGACCGAATGTGGCCACCATCGCGGCTCTTGATGAAGGTTGGGTGGGTGAGCAAACTGGAACCGATTGACTGGGCTCTAAATTCTCACTGTGAGAGGTCATCAGTTCTTCCGCCTTCCGCGAAGGATTCTCTGGATCAGCTTAAAAAGCGAGGTTTGAGAGAAGGAACCGAAATCTCAATTCCAAACCTTTTTACGTTGCTAGCGAAATTTAGGCTCTCTGTGTGACTAACTTCCGAAGACATGGCATCATCTACAACGGCATCCGCATCTCATTCCGTCATACCGAAGGCGCTAACTGTTGTGATTATCTCCGCCTGCGGCTCTCTCGGGGTTTACGGGACACTCGTTACTGGGTCCCAAAACGGGTTATTCAATGCCATCTCGCACTCACTCGGTCCGACCGCGCGGGAGCCGTTTTCTCTTGGAGGGCCGGCGCCATTGCGCACTGCGTTTACGGGCATTGATGCTATAGACAGGCAACTATCCATTCTAGTTGCATTCTTTACAATCGCGGTCGATGGCCCGCGCAGCTGGGATGTCACACTCTCCCAGTGGTATTTGCTTGGACAATTCTGCGCGGGGTTTAGCTTGCTGGTGCTAGAGGGTCTGCGTCAAGGCAACCAGGGCAAGCTCGTCAGTTGGTTAGTAACCTTTCGTGTTCTTGTTGTTTGAGACACGGGTGCTGTTCTAATTGTGCAATAGGACCGGAACAGTTGGTTGTGCTCTTCAAAGAGCATCGTACGCTCTGTGCATTCCACTATACCTTCTCTTCCACCTGTTTTCGTCTCCTGTCATCTACCCAAGCCCGAGCTTCGAGAACCGCTTGACAGTCAGCACCGCCGATCTTGCTCTTCTGCCATTTACCAGCGTTTTCTTCTTTTGGGTGCCGGCTCTACTCATGAGTTTGCCGTCACCTTCAGTTCTTCCTCCTACGGCACACTATGGATGGATCGCATTCTGGCAGGTCTTCCCTATGTGGCAAAGCATTTGGCAGTGGCTATTGAAACAACCACTTCGATCACGCGGCACAGCCAAATCAGTCAGAGCACATCTCGAGGCTGCCAAGCATACGTATCTATATATCCTCGGGCTCGCTGTCCTATCGCAAGTCACGCTTCTTAGCGTAGCTTTGATACCCAAGACCGTTGTCCCAGCAGCTTGGGCCCCTGTGTTTGCTGAAGTCGATGTCGTCTCGGCATTTGTGCCTTACTTGCCGTGGAATTCGCCGACCGTGGAAAACCCTGTTGTACCTGTTTCTACTGGTGAACTCGCGCAGCTTGCTCGGCTATTCCTGCAGTGGGATATCTACCCTACAAGCGCTGCCATCCTTGTGTGGGCTCTGTATTTATACGGGACAGGAAGTGGGAGACCCGTGCTTCCTATACTGCCCAAGGTCTTTATTTTGGGACTGGCTGGTGGCCTAGCTGCTCCTGCCGCCTTCCTTCTTTGGGAGCGTGACAACACTGTAATGAATCAAGCATTTGCTAAGGAAAAGGATATTTGAGGTGAAACTGGCGTTTCTTGACTCCGCTCGTTCCTGAACACACATCGGTTGGAATTCCCCTAGTACTGGCTAGAGAACTTGATTGCCTCAGCGGATTTCAATGTTAGAGGGCAGGACTGTACTGTACAATATGCACTAGCATTAGTCACTTAAGCTTATCGAGCCTTCGCATACCATGTTCGGCAGGAGAGGCCCGGAGGACACCAAGACTCTCTGGCGACACTGCTTCAATTATTCGTGGAAATGTACTGTTACTAATGCCTTGTGCGCATGCTTTTAAACTATCGCCAACTAGTGAAGGGTCTAGGTGGTCTCAAGTCCTGATCTAAAAGTACTTGGGGGCCAACTCTAACGTTGTTTGATGCGATACCACACGATGATTCCAGCATTGTCTTCAGGGCTACCGCACACCAATTCGCTGACCTCTCGGCGTCGGACTCTTCAGCGAATTCTAGCGGTCCACGGCGGTGATCCACCACCAATTGCCCCTGCTAGCTCTCACTTGCTCCGTTAGTCTCATTTCGCTACCCGCATCCGATGACGAGGAGCATGTAGATGGCGGCCGCGTTGTTAAAATTAGCATAAGCATTGGAGATCTCGTGAACCACAATGATGGGACTTAATAACATGCTTCATCGCTGGATGGTAGCAAGTCCTGGAGGGCGATCTAGGGAGAGCTGCTTAATGGTTTCTGGTCATGCATTGCTTTTCGCCATTGGTTTTTGTCGCTGCTGTCGTAGCGGCGGCATCTTGTCAGTCATTCGACCAGGCACAACGACCCGCGCCAAAGACGTATTGGTATGAGAATATCAAGCACAATGGCATCAGTCCGTTCATCCCCAACGGCCACAATTGGACTGTATTCCGCAACGTCAAAGACTTTGGCGCGAAAGGCGACGGCGTAACAGACGACTACTTGGCCTTCCAGGCGGCGGTCCAGTATGGTAATGAGACAGCTGACCGAAGATCTCATTCCTTTGGCACAACAGGACAGCCCGCAGTATTATATATTCCTAGTGGAACTTACATGCTCAGCTTTCCCATTCAGTCATTCGTCGACACGGTGATAATGGGCGACCCGATTGACCCTCCTGTTCTTCGCGCCACTGAGAACTTTTCAATCCCATTCCTCTGGTACGCCAAAGATCCAAACTTCGATGCGACCATCAACTTTTATATCGCAATGAAGAACCTTGTCCTGGACTCGACATTGGTACCCCCAGAGCAGGATATCACTCTTTTGGACTGGAGTGTCAGTCAAGCTGTACAACTTACAAATGTAGTTTTCAACATGCCTATCGGTGCAACCGGGCACAAAGGACTAGCAACACCCGAAGGCGGTTCTCCATTAATAATGAACGACTTGACTTTTCAGGGAGGCTCGGTAGGAATTGTTATGAATGAACAGCAGTTCCATTTCAAAGGCATCACATTCAAAAGTCAGTCTACTCGTGGATTAGTAGTCGGCCAACCAAACTGACTTTGCATTTAGACATGGATATCGGCTTGAAGATTGATAAACTATTCGAAGGCACTGGACAAGGCCTGCATTTTGAATCATGCAGAATCGGTGTTGACACAAGCAACAATAATACTGGATTCTTTGCCCTTATTGATTCCAGTGCTAAAGATGTGGACGTCGTGTTCAATATTGCAGCCTCGCCAACTGCTCAGGGGTCAATAGTCTTAGAAAATGTGAAGGTGGACAACTCTGTTGGCTCGGTACGTGTTTCTGAACGCCAAACCTTCGATTTAAACAACTACTGACACGTTTGTGTTTGATATAGACTGTCAGTGCTGATGGCACAAATGTGCTAACTGGCTCCGTGGCGCGTGGCAGCTCGTGGATCTGGGGCAACGTGTACTCTCCAAAGGGTCATGAGCGTGCGGAAGGGAAGCTGTATCCAGCCTCCCGCCCACAACCACTCATTGACCGCTCTGGGAGCTACTATGCTGTGAAGCCTCCAACATTCCAAGAATGGGATGTCGTAAATGTTTTGAATGTGAAAGACGTGTGTGGATGGCCGGTAGCTGGAGACGGAATCACCGATGAGTAAATCCGTTCTTAGCTCACACCTCAGGTCATCACTACTAATACGACAATAGCACTGTGAACCTGCAACACATTATCAACACTGCAGCCGGAAAGAAGGTCCTTTTCTTTCCACATGGAACGTACCTCGTCAGTGACACTCTGGTAATTCCTCCAGGCACACGGTAAGCCCACTTTGTGTTTGCTACATATCAATTGGCTCACGCGCTTGTCTAGGATTCATGGTGAGGTATGGTCAGAGATTAGTGCCATTGGGGACAGATTCAAAGACCAGGCAAAATTAGTTCCCATGGTTCAGGTGGGGAAACCTGGTCAGACTGGAGTCGCACAATTCGTCGACATACTGTTCACAGTAGCCGACATCCTTCCTGGTATGATACAAGACAGCATATGTTTCCATGGTTGTGATTGGTTTAACTGACTCACACAAGGCTGCAAACTTGTCGAGGTAAACATGGCTGGGAGAACCCCTGGAGATGTCGGCTTCTTCAATACAGTATTTCGAAGTGCGTATAGTCTAGCTCCTTGTAGTTCCTAAACCAATGCGCTAACAAACGTCGAAGTTGGTGGAGCTCGAGGTTCTAAAGTTCACACAGAGTGTGATGATCCGGCAACTTGCAAAGCAGCACGTCTGTGCGCACATCTGACCGAGTCATCTTCTTCGTACTGGGAGAACTCGTGGTGTGAGTTACTCAAATCAATAAAAAGGTTAAGCAAGCTGACCCACGCACGTTCTTAGGCTGGTCGGCGGATCATGACCTGGACGATGATCGATATAGCGCCAACCCTTCTACAGCCGGTGGCTTTCTTGTGGAAGCAACGAAAGGCACATGGTTGGTGGGAATTGGATCTGGTATGCTGCCTTAGTGAAGTTTTCCAGCACATTTTTCTTTTTTCACCGCATCAAATTTGACAATGGCAAGTCTCACTAATGCGATTGTAGAGCATAACGATCTTTACCAGGTGAATATCTACAAGGCGAAGAACGTTTACTTGGGATTCCAGCAAAGCGAGACGCCTTATTGGCAAGGGATTGGCTCAGATGTTCTCAGTCCACAGCCTTGGGGAAATGCTCTCCTCCCTAGTGACCCCGACTTTAGCTGGTGCGAGGCTGGAGATGCCCAGGTAAGCCGTAGTACCCATCTGGAGAAGGTTTGATTACTAACATGGGGCCCATAGTGTCGTATGGCGTTATACCAAAGAGTCGCGCACTCAGCTGATATCAACTTGTACGGTGGGGGTTACTGGACATTTTTCAATGGAATCAATCGGGACTACTGCTCGAGTGAATGCCAGCAGAATGCAGTGCTCTACGAAGACAACCGAAATCTTTACAGTTACGGAATTAGTACGCACAACGTGCGGACTTTGCTGTTATCTGGCAACAATGGCAACTACCAAGTCATTGCTGATGACATGGATAACTCGGGAGGCTGGCAAAGTGGTGGAGGCGTGTTGGCTGCTTACATACCGAGGTTGGCATAGACAGTCCCAAGCTCATATCATGGTACTGCAAAGTGTTTCAATTGATAATGCGACTCATGACTAAAGATTGCGATTGAGTCATGGGAATAGCTAGTTGACCTACACTCTTTCAATTACCATCACCACCATGGCCAGTCACCACTACCGAGATCACCACATACAGGCACTAGCCGATCTTAGATGAACAATACACAACAGTTTCACTCTATCAGAAGTGGTGATTCAAACTCTGCGCCTCCCGTCTGATGTCCGTTAGCATAATGATGCAATTGATTCTACCTCCCTAGCCCTTCTTGCTCTATTTGCCTTCCAGAAGACCCTCCAAACGCTATAAAATTCCAATTTCTATTCCGGCTACCAGCTCACGCCGGTGATCGATATATGTTCTAACCGCCTACCACTATAATTCCACCTATTCCAGCTCAATAGTACCGGGAGGCTTTGAGGTTCTAGAAGATGTCAGCTGGAGGCTCGGGATAAATGCAGGTTAAGATTTCAACTTACAGATCATAGACCACGCGGGATACACCATCTACCTGGTTGCAAATAGTGCGGGAGACATCCTGGGGTAGACAGATTAGTATAATAGAGATTGGTAATAGGGTTCGGTCGTAATAGAGTGGCAGGGTGTATTGTCCACGTTCGTGGAGAGCCCAAAGTGTAAACGAGGCATGACTTACAGCGAGGAAGGAATTATCAAAGTTGAACACCTCCGCGCTCATGAAGTCTTTGGTACGGACAGCACGGAGAATTATGATGTAACCCCAAACTCGCTGGTCGCCAAAAACACCAACACTACGATTGGTATCGAGACCAGCATAGGCTTGAGATATCTGGAGAGAAAGAGTTAGCTCACACCTATCTTCGCATATGTGATTTGGCTCACCTGGTCGTAAAGGCCAGCCTCCCTGATCTTGCTGATGAAAATGTGGTCGGCCTTGCGTGCGATCTCCACTCGCTCCTTAGTAACGTCGCCGAGGATGCGAATAGCAATGCCAGGGCCTGGGAAGGGATGGCGATTTACTAGCGACTCGTGGATGCCAAGCTGTCGGCCGATTGCCTACGGTACTTAGCATGAGTGATTTAAATTCACGCCCTTGAACCTTGCTTACCCTAACTTCATCTTTGAATAACAGCCTCAATGGCTCTATCAGCTGCATCACAAATCATGTCAACAATCTCTACGTGATGGAGGAAGGAGAGTGAACTTACACGTAAACCTTGCTAAATGAACTATATCAGTTACTGTTAATGAAACCCTGCCAAGGTATTTTGACTTACGCCGTTCATCATCCGCTATATGCCGGTCAGTGGAGATAATTCAGTTTGTAGATCTTTATCATGCTTACCTCAGGTAGACCGCCTACGTTGTGGTGAGCTGTTTCTGATATCAGCACTATTCTCCTCTCTAATTTGATCGACCTCGTTGGCAGTCTACTGCTCCAAAATCTAGTTGTGTCTCTTACTCTTAATAGTGGCCGATGGGCCTCGGAAGCTTAAACTTTCGATACTGAAACACTGTTAGCTTGGCCGCATCAACCGGCTTAAAAATGACTTACACGTCAGGGTACAGTGTGCCCTGCAAAAACCATTCCACCTTCCCGGTGTTGGGTGTGTTCTCTGCTTCTTTCTCGATCTGGCGAGTTGCGTCAGCAAACCATCTCAACTGCCAGAAAAGGTTGTGAGCGTACCCTGATAGCTTCTTTCTCGAACAGATCGATGACTATGATGAAGTTAGTATCATTATCTCAGTCCATCCAAGATATATGAGTCTACATACAAGTTGACCCAATGATCTTTCGTTTCTTTTCGGGATCAGAAACACCGGCAAGACGACTCAAGAACAGCTCGCCGGCGTCGACAACTGTGAGGTTGATGCCAAGGTGTTCTCCGAGCGTCTGCTTGACCTCCTCGCACTCGTTGAGACGCATACATCCATTATCGATGAGGATAGCCTTGAAGCGGTCACCGATGGCTGCACGCATTATGGACGCTCCTACAGTGCTATCCACACCACCGCTACACGCGCCAAGCACAAGTGCTCGATCGCCAACAAGCTCCCGGATACGAGCGATCTCAAGCTGCACGAAATCGCCCATTTTCCAGTTCGGTTGAGCCCCGCAGATATCAACTGCGAAGTTGCGGAGGAGCTCGGTTCCACGGGGGGTCTAGATCGGAAGGTTAGAGAGAATTCTCAAATGTAACGTCTTAAGGTGACAAACATGTTCAAGCTCAGGATGAAACTGAACGCCTGGTCACCTGCGTTAGCATCTCCCCTAACTGAGCGATAAAGGTAGTCTAAGGACAACAAACCAAAGATAGGCTTTTCCTCATGGGCGATGCCGGCGTACTCCGAGTTCTTGGTGGCGGCAATGACCACAAAGCCCTGCTCAGGTCAGCAAATCATCCAAAAGTCCAAATGATATTTACTCACGGTAGGCAGGCTAACTAGCTTGTCGAAGTGGGACATGAACGCAGGCATTTCATCTCCCAAACCAGCGAAGAGGCGGTCGACATGACTATTCACCTTGGCGATATTGACATCGGCATGGCCATACTCTGCGAGAAAATGATTAGGAAGAACTTTGGATGGTATTACAAAGGTTACAAACCTCGTGCTTCTCCACGGGCAACATTCTTTGAATCAATCCGCCATGCGATCTCCTGGCACCCGTAGCTAGGCAACTCATATTAGTGTGCTATTATGTAACGATATCAAAGCATAGTCATACCAGATACCCCTATAACTTCAGGTTAGTCATGGATTAGAAATTTGAGGTACTGGTAGGGAGCATTCACAGAATGGGTACATCAAGCTCAAATACAGCGGGGTCAACATCTACAAATATGAGTAAAGAGAAAAGCACGTTCGGCAGAAGGGAATCTAACGGGGCGCGCCGTCATCGTAGACAGAAGAAGGGCCTAGTAAATGAGTTAAGCATTGTCACAAAGCATGCATTGAGAGGCGCCATACCTCCAGAGAACACAATTCCTTTAGGCTTCCATGTCAGATCATTGACCTTGGTGGTGCACGGGAGCAGCTCAGCGAAGACGCCCAAAGCTCGGAGCCGACGCAGAATAAGATGGCTGGTTTGGGATCCAAAGTCAAGGACAAGTATAGTCTGAACAGCCAAGCGTCAGCCAACCCATTCTTATCGCGTTTGCCGAACCGATCACGTCCCCACGCCCTTTCTGGGGTGATCGATCGCAAGTCGGGGTGAGCGAAGGCATGTGAGTCTTGAGGCTCGCCGTGCCGGCCTTCTGCAGTGTAATCATGATACGTACATCGAAGTTGTTGTGAGGCGCTTCGCCCTCGACGTTGGGAGCCATTGTGATCGCGATATCGGCGGCGTATCGAGAGCAGTATCGACAAAGTTGTTGATCACCTCAGGAAAAAAAGTACGAGGTGTAACCGCCTATCTTTTTAGCGTGCCCTCCCTGACAAACAGTTTCTGCCGGCAGAAAGGGGCGGTGAGCACTCCCTTTGGTGGGGGATCTCCATACACAGCTACCTCCATGTACAGTAAGGGAGGGGCACACCTGCCCCGCTTAAAGTCCATTGTACTGTACCTGACTGGTGGTACCTAGATAAGGGTCCCCTACCTAGGTACATTGAGATCTGATCTAGACTAGTCCAGGTAAACTGCTGAATCATGAGGCCCTAAGCCAGCTACTAGCAGCTGCGCAAACCACGACAGGTGCTGTTTTATCTAGGAAGAAGAAGCATGTATTCGAGGTCTGCATTGAATGGGCAATAATTCTAATCTCGTTGTGGGCTTTGAAACCAATGATGGAGCATCAGAGGACTCATCAGCAATGCAGCTGTGAGTCACCGCTTGGCACTTTCCAGTATAGGCTAGCCAGTCAAGGTCAGTACAATTAATTACAGGATTTGTGTCATAACATGTCGTATAAATCAACAACATCATCCATATCGGTAGCAGTTAGTAAAAATCATTCAAGGTATCATCATTCAGATTAAAAAATGGCTTCTTCAGCCCATCAATCAAGCCACGAAATCACAACGCCGCGTCTCATTATCCGCAGCGCTAAGCATTCCGATGCTGCAGGCATTTGCCATGTGCTCGGAAACCCCCTAAACTTCCCTCATAACCCTGTCGATCCAGACCTCACGCCGGAAGTCTTCGAAAGGCGGATTGCAAAATGGGAAACAGCAACCGCGAAAGGCGACAGTGCTTTCATGATTGTTATCCTGCGAGAAACCAATAAGATTATCGGCTTTGGAGGGTTCAATTCACTTCCAAAAGCCCCTGCTCTAGCCGGTTCTGATAGGCTTGAGCTGGAAGGTGATACAGGGCTTGTTATAGACCACCCTTTTTGGCGTAAAGGTTATGCTACCGAGGCTTTCTGTGGGACGGTAGAATATGGATTTGACAAACTCGGCTGCGGACATATGTCAATGGACACCAGCATCCAGAATGAAGGGTGGAGAGCATTCATGAACCATCTCGGCCTTGCCCATGTCGAAGTACGAAGAGCCGAAGGTCGAGAAGGCGAAGACTTCTCTTATAAGTTTGACAAGAAGTCTGGGAACAGGCCAAGGTCGGATTGATGAGCAGGGGCAAATGGCCATTGTAAACGTCTCATTAACGACATGCCTGATTTAGAGAACTTCACGCCCGCGCCACCTGCCATCTCCAATCACTATGGGAGGCGTTCTAGCGCCACTTTAAGATGCCGAGTCATTTTGTGATGGAGATCAAGAAAGGCGTCAGCTGGGGTGGACTCATAACGGAGGTTTGAAGATGCAATTGCGAATCTGAAGCAAAGTATGCTGCGTGAGAAGGTGATTTGTCTATTCCCTTTCATGGACATAATTAATACTAATTCCTAACGACCAGAAACTCGACACCGGCGGCAAAGATTGAATTCTTATCATTCTCGAATATCAAATTCATGTCACTTTCGATATATGAGTGAAAGCATGCTCAGTTTAGCCTCTTATTGTTCTGTCATGGACTTCGTCAAATCATTCTTTTACTTTTCAGTAGTTTCAGGACTCAGAACGTATATCACATTCACTACTATTTACAAACACAATTTTTGCTCTGAACCTTTTCAACACTCGGAGCGTCTCTTCCGATCGCAATTTTTGTCATTAAGGCATGCCGCTGATAACAAGTTAGAAGCGGTAATTTATCAATATACAGCTACAACGCAGGCTTCTCCCGAAAAAACAGCTACGGCTCAAAAGCCATGGTAATATTTTATATCTACAGATCTTATTGCGTGAAAAAAGATATATTTAATGTGAACCCAGCCATGAGAATCCAATATCACCTGTATCATGCAATAACCCTCAACATATGTTGTCTCTCCAGTGACAGGAGTCTGCATGATGCAGTTTATTGCGCTATCAATCTGGCCATGTTTAGGGTATACAATTTATCTATGTCATATGTTCGTCGCGAAGACCGCCATTTCCCCCCCCTAATCTTAGAGCATTGTCGTCCAGAAAATACTAGAGGTGAGGTCGACTTTTTGAACGTTTGGAAGCTTTTGAAAGCCATATTACAGCATACCTTGTAGAGTAGCAAAGCCGCAGTGCCAGGCCGTAATGTCATACCGCTGAGATTTGATCTCACGACCGCGCGGCGACAATCTGAGTGCCGGGCCGCTTATTCCAAAAGTGTCTAGGGTAGTAGGCAGGTCTTTCTCCCCCTTTTTCCTTTGCTGCCTAATCGTACATGCTAAAAGACTTAGTGTATCACTTCCGACTGTCTTGCTAGTTTCGAGACGAGGTATCTTGGTGATCTTTATATTGGAGCAGTCTATCGCATCAAATCTTCTCCTTCAACTTGTATCTCAAGTATACCCTCGGCTCGGGACGGCGAGCAGAGAAGGCGTTCAAGTCAATTGGCGTGGGGGTAGTGATAGGGTTACCCTTAGCATCGCAAGCGACGTAATCAAAAACGGTGGTGAAGAACGCGACAATGAGGTACTGTTCTAGCTTGGCAAAACGCATGCCCACTATTCGCTCAGTTAGTACAAACCTGCATCTGAAGTCGTATTCCGTGATCACAAAGTCAAACGCGGCGGTTAGGATAGAACACCAACTCACAACATGGATGCCGTCCAACTCCCCAGCCGAGGTATGCATACTGCTTTTTCTTGTCCTCGGCCCTGTCCTCAGAGTATCGGCCAGGGTCCCATTTGGTTGGGTTAGGATATATGTTAGGGTCCTGGTGAGTATCGTTGAAAGGATATGCTACATAAGCGTCCTTGGGAACAACCTCGTCGCCGACTTGGATATCATGGCCGCTTATATTGCGTCGGAATGTCGCTCCAGTCGCTGTGAGCCGGATGCATTCCCTGAGACATACCTCGATTGTGGGAAACTCGGACTCCCAGGCTTCAAGGGGCACAGATGCTAACTTCTCAACCATGGTAGCATTAGGATCGCTATTGGTGGCACTCTTCTCAATGGCGGCCTGGACTTCGGTACGGACTTTGGTCATCCATTGCGGGTTCAGAGAAAGGAAAACAAGAATCCATGATGCGTTAACCCCCGAATTGATTGTGCCAGCCAGGAGACCTGATACAACGAACTAGACATAGGATATCAACGTCAGCACACTTTGCTACTCATGAAATAATGATAATGAAGGTCAGGCAACGACTCACCCCAACAATATGGCCCATATCGTCCCCTTGATCCATCATAATCTGCATGGCGTCCTCTCCTCGCTTCCCCGTCCTTAATCTCTCGTCGCCAATTTTCTTGACAATCTCAAATAGTCGCATCCCAGCCACCGTACGCTTGAACATACCCCAAGTTGGAATCCACGGGTACATTACCGCCGTAGGCGATGTCAAGCTATCTACCAAGTGATACCAGTGCATCATCTTTCCCATGAGCTCTAGATCATCTGCAATGTCCCCGCATCCCACTGATCGGATCGTGAGCTGAAAGGCAATCTTGAAAATATTATCAAATGGATCAACCACTGCCTCGTCCTTGAACCCTTTGTTAGGAATGGCAGCTGCTAAGTCTTGAAGCCGAGCCCGCACATCGCCAATCAACTTGGGCAGGTTGCGCTGCATCGCGTCAGTTCTTAGCACACGGACCATGCGGCTGTTGAAGAACTTTGAAAAGTCCATTTTCTCTGCGGCCTCCTGCCTCATCTTCTCTTTCGTCTTCTCATCGCCTCCAGCCGCTGCGATCTGCTGCTCCAGTTTCTTGGCGGCCTTACTCGCGCCCGCCGAGGGTCCAAACAGCACCGAAAATCCCTCGGCGAGACCCCCATAGCCTTCCGCGAAACCAAAATGGCGATTGTCGAAGAAGACTTGCCTGGAGGACTCTGAGGTCAGGCCGACCACGGGCTTGCGGCCGACGAAAAAGCTAAAGTTGCCGGTCGGGGAGGCACGTGCAGCATCGCGAAAGAATTCCCAGCGACGAGTAAAGAATTTAAGGGCGCCCAGGACAGGATAGACGCCGTCGGTCAGGGGAGGTGCTCTAGGGTGTAGAGCTGGTCGGGAGAAGAGCTTGGTGTAAGCTATGAAGCCGAGCGACATGATGACTAGTGGGAACACAAGATAGGGGTGGGGGAGGTCGAGCGGGGCCATTGTATTCGCGGCCGATATCTTAACAAACAAAACCTAACTACCCGTCGTTTCTAGTTGACTTCCTCTTCTCAGATAGATGTTTAGTTTCCCCTGCAGTTTGTATGAATAATGACCATATGCGTTAAACACAGGTGCTTTACGTCAGAATATGAAGAGTAATCGAAAAGACGAAGGATGCGGAAAGCAAGACAAAGACTCGATTGCATCTGCATGCTGACACTCTCTTCGTATCTGTGGGATCGGCATTGGAAGGAGCTTACTATGTAAGTCAACGGCGGTGGTAAGCTAATAAAGAGCTCCAATAACACTGGCAATGCGGAGATACGTTACATTGTATAGTATACGGAACGCGCGATAGCACAAATTAAAGCTCCGCGATAACTTAGTGCTTAGGGCTTACCTACCGGTAGTTGTCTAGCCTAACGGAAGGATGAAGTTGCATACAGCACTATGCAAGCTATATCTCTAAATCTTTTTGGTTCGCACCAGTTTACAAAATTGGATCGAAACTCTCCGATCTCGCCAATCAAAGTCCGTTAATTGACAATGCTACTAACTAATTTGACTTTCAGGAGATATGGGCTCCAACACACCAGCATTATAGACTTGTGTAGGTCTAGGAAGACGAATCGGATCGACAACCGCCGCCTGCTGCCAATATACGCTGCCATAGCGTAGATATTCAGCAAAAGTACCCTCTGCAACGTCGTCATCCTTATGCTGCTCCTCGTCCCATATACTTGCCAAATTCTCTAATCCACAGGGCGGGCCGTGACTGAGTTTCATCATGACACTATTCTGCAATACCTTGTCTACAAAGTCCTTGGCTTCGGCATAGCCCTTCGCAGGAGTCGGGCTAGAGGAGACTTTGGTAGCCAGCATGTCATACTGCTTGCGCCCGTCCCAGCCTGTGATTCGCTGTGCGTAGTATAAATGGTCTTCGGCCTTCAGGAGAAAAATCTTGTTGGCGAAGTAGTCAGCGCCATCGAATCCGTCATTTGGGTCTTTGAGGTGATGCAGGCGCTCAAATGCCACGAAATGTGCTAGGTAGTCTCCCAGTGCCTCAGTTGGGATGAGTAAAGGGGGGCAGCCTAGTTTCTCGATCTGGACTTGAAGTGGAGGTAGATGTGCCAAAAGGGGATCTTTGTGAAACCCATCTGCAGACGTCTTCCCCTCCCATAACTTGCAGTAAACATCATGCCACCGCTTGACCATCCCGTTCTCCCTCTTCGTAGCGATAAATCCGTTCAACATAGTGCCCGCCTCCGCCCGCAAGGGCATCAGGATCCCTGCCATTTCATATGGACTTGATGGATCCTCAATCGCCCGCCAACAGATGTCATCCAAATGGCGGAGCAGAAGCATCCCCACATCCATCCAAACTCCGCCGTGAATGTACAGCAGTGGCAGTCTAAGCAAGTCCGAAACGTGCTGAGGTGGTGCGACCAATGTCTTGTTATTGAATGCGTCGGGGAAGTAGGACGCCGGAACGAATTTTAAAAGGTGATTTTCAGATCCGGGGACATCGTCTAGCACCCGAACCGTCCACTCCGGGCCGAGTCGGCGTGCCCACGCAATAACATTTCTTTGGCACCAGGGCCGCAGACTCTCCCAGCCTGAGTGCCAGAAGGCCCAGACGTTCTTGTCAGCTGTTACGGGCCGGTATGAGGTCAAGGCCGAGACAATATCGGTGTCGGAGCGTGGGTCCGGGTTGGGGTTGACCGTGAGGCCATCGGGGGGCGAGTATGTAGTTACCATAGTGACGGACGATGGGGATAGATAAGGTGAGCTTCAAACATCATGCACTCTCGCTAGCAGATCTTGATTATATCGCTGAGTGATTGGTGTCACAACGAGGTGCCGTGACGGGAGAGCGCGGTGCCCTAATGGATGCGCCCGGTATTCCTTCATCCTTCGTACGAACAATGTCGATGACATAAGAGCTATACGAGTAGCTTAGAGAGTAATATCTATATTAGGAAGGTAACATGTCTATATTCATGCAGAAGTTTTGAGTTTTGGAAAACCTGTCAACAGTAATTACTCCACATCTTATAATTGATATTAAGGTTACAATGAGAGAATCCCATCAAAAACACATCTAGATGTCGACCGCATTGCATTAAATTGCGCCAGCTAGAACAGCCGCTATTAGAAGACACCTTGCTAAATATGTTTGTGCCTATGCGTGAACTGGCAGGATCATTTTCGGATCGCATCAGTGGAAAGATCTCAATTCAATCCAATTGGACAAATAAGACGAGGATGACATCTATCTTGGATAGAGATCCTACTAAACTAGTATAGAATGGTCTTGTCACTGATAAGTGGTAACATACTTCGCTAGTGCTGTTATTTACTGCAACAATAAGCTATGGTTACGCTGCCTCGAGGCTGCCCCTCCCTTATGTCTTGTCCAACACGAGCATGGTGTACGATCCTTTTGTGGAGCAGGAATACAATATGCTGCGTAAACCTAGGTTTTGCCTAGTCAAACACGGTGGTGCGTTAGCGCCAAACATTCCTATATACTTAATCACTAACGTGTATATGCGTCTCACCTTACGCTCACCTCATAGTGTTGCGGTAGCTTCTGTTAGCAGTTGGACGCCTATTTGATGGTTTGGAGGCTCCTGGGAAATCAAATATCCTGCGCGCAAACTTCGCCTATCAATCAATGTATTGGCGGGGTAGGCGATTTACTTTTTCTCGTCCACCCCCTGAAGGAGGTGCCAGAGGGTGGAAGTGCAGCTTTCCCCAAGATGGGCGTTTATTTATATCAATTTGAATGGTGGGAATCATATCCCTTTCGTCGCTTGCGCTCAGGTATAGAAGCGCAGCGCCCAACATCAACATTACACGCTCTATTCACATTTCATTTAGAAAATGGCGTCCCATTTTAGACGAGAAAATTACCTTTGACTGATAAGCGCTTACAGTTCGGTTCCTTCCACAAGGAGGCCAAGCAAGTCTCACTCCCTATCCCGACACCCAGGTCCACAAATATCCCGTCTCCACATTGCAACGTTTCTGCATAGCAAAGTATTAGTGACATGGCCTTGGATTGGCAATACTGCTACAGTCCACCTAATAGACCTAAATATCTTTGCCAATGCCGATGTGTACCTAATGTCGTGATATGAACCTGCCCAATTATTCGTCTTGATATTAGGTAGCAGGTTGTTACAATGCTGCGCGCGAAGTGCGTTGAGTGCGAAGGAACACGGAAAGCTAGACTCTCGATAAGCTTAGATGCATGTGAGAATTCTCCAATAAATCTTCATAGCACATTGTCTTTCTATTGATGATTTGTTGTGAATAAATTTAACCGCTTATGACTGTGACATACTGTTGTTCTTAGCCAAGTCAGTAGCATTCCATTAAAATAATACTTGATACGATCCAGCACCATCATGGCGCCTCACAAGTTGGAGGACTCAGCTGAGCCAGAGCCACAACCTGAGCAGGTGTCGTTCAAATCCAGCAAAATCTCCATCGATGACTCGCCTGTTGGCCTCGTTCAAGACCTCTCCCAGCTTTTGGCCCGGGCCGCAGCCAGTGATGCAGGTCTTATCTACTATGCACCCGGGATGGTGCCCCAAGCACCACTTCGGCTTTCGTACGCCTATCTGCTAAAAGAAGCAAAAGAGAAGTCACGGCTATTGTACAGCATCAACGGAATTTCTCGCAACACTATTATTCTACTGCACTTTGACAGCCAACACGAGAATATTCTGTGGTTTTGGGCATGCATACTGGGGGGATTTCTTCCCGCTATCTCCACTCCTTTTGTTGCAGACGCCGTCCAACGGAAAAAACACCTTGTTCATCTTCAGAGCCTATTGAATCAACCTGTTGTTCTCACAACAACAAAACTTGTCCCGGAATTTTTAGGCGTTGAAGAACTCTCAATACATGCTGTGGAGTCTCTTATACCCTCTGATCACCAGGAGGCTGAGGGGATCCTGGTTCCTGTCAACAGCAGAGACGAAATCGCTGTGCTCATGCTTACATCTGGATCAACGGGTAATGCCAAAGCCGTACCGCTTCGTCATGGTCAAATTCTTGCCGCGGTAAAGGGCAAGAGTGAGCATCATGGTACCAATCAAGGAGATGTCTTCCTTAACTGGATTGGATTGGATCACGTCGCTAGCTTGACCGAGGTTCACCTACATGCAATGAGCTTGAGCAGTGATCAGATTCATGTTCCTGCGTCAGAAATGCTCCAGGATCCCCTAAAATTTGTACAATTATTAGACGCACATAAGGTCGTCTACACCTTCGCACCCAATTTCTTCCTCACGAAGGTCCGCGATAGCCTCATCTCCGCAGGTTCTTCTTTCAAAGCTGATCTCTCCCACCTCAGAGCATTTATCTCTGGTGGGGAGTCTAACGTCGTGGCTACTTGCGATGCTTTAACCCAAGAACTCGCCCAATTCGGGCTTCAAGGGGAAGTCATCCGTCCAGGATTTGGCATGACCGAGACATGCGCAGGATCTATTTACTCCAAAGCATGTCCATCGTATGACCTTGTGCGGAGCCTCGAATTCGCCAACCTAGGCACCTGCATTCCAGGCCTCGAGATGCGAGTCATGAAGCTTGATGGGACGGGCCTTGCACATACAAGTGAGGCTGGGCATCTACAAGTCTTTGGTCCTGTTCTCTTTGATCACTACTTTAACAACCCCGAAGCTACGAAGGCCTCGTTTAGTCCAGACGGATGGTTTGAGACAGGGGACTTGGCATATATTGATGAGAAGGGAAATCTCAACCTAACGGGTCGAACCAAAGACACAATCATCGTGAATGGTGTCAAGTGGAGCTCAACTGAGATTGAGACGGCAATTGAGGAGGAAGGGATCATTGGGCTTGTCCCTTCTTATACGGTGGCGTTTCCTCACAGGGCACCTCACTCCGCGACAGAAGACATCTGTGTTGTCTACTCGCCTAACTACCCCGCCGATGACGACGCTCTGCACTTTGAGACGTCGACTGCTATTTCCAAGACGGTCTCCCTCATATGTGGAAAAAGGCCAGATCATCTTATCCCATTGCCCGTGCAACTACTAGAGAAGTCATCTCTCGGCAAAATTTCCCGCGCCAAAGTCCGTGCTGCCTTTGAGAAGGGAGATTATGCCTCGTTCCAATTACATGACGCAGAAGCGCTTGCACGCCATCGAGCGAGCATATGGCAAGATGCTGAGACGAAGACTGAGAAGGTGCTACAGGATACTCTAGCCAGATTACTCGAGATATCCTCTGCAGATATCAGTATGAAGGCTTCCATCTTCGAGCTGGGAGTGGATTCATTCAACCTGATCACCTTGAAAGCCATGCTTCAGAAAGCTATTGATATCGACATCGATATTCCCATATCGGTTCTTCTTACAGAGTAAATACCTGCGCAATCCTTAATGTGTGAATGACATTACTGACCTCGCTTAGGCCAACTATTGCTTCTATATCCACCGCCATTGACTCGCTGCTTTCCAAACCTGTCGTGTATGACCCCATCGTTCCCTTACAACTCCACGGTACCAAGACACCTCTCTTCTGTATTCATCCTGGGTCAGGCGACATCCTTGTTTTCATTGCATTGGCCGCTCACTTCTCCACGCGGCCCGTCTACGCCATTCGTACACGTGGTTATAACCCCAATGAGCGCCTGTTCACCTCCATACGGGAAACGGCCGACACCTACGCGGCGCACATTCGTAAGACACAGCCTGAGGGGCCCTACGCTATTGCTGGCTATTCATTAGGCTCAACCCTTGCGTACGAAGTCGGCAAGGTGCTCGAGGCGCAGGGACAAGAGGTCAAGTTCCTTGCTAGTATTGATTACCCGCCACATATCAGGCACTACATCAAAGGGCTGAACTGGATCGATGTCCTTCTGCACATTGCATTCTTTCTCGAGCTGATTGATGAGGTAACTATGGTAGACATCACTCCCAAACTCCATGGCATGGCTACCAGGGCCGACGCACTGGCCTACATTCTGGAGATTAGTGACAAAGAGCGCGCCACAGCGTTGGCAATTGACTCCCCCAAGCTAGAACTCATCAGCGATATTGCTGAAAATTTCAGGGTGAATGTGGAGACATATGAGCCCGTGGGTCAAGTCGAGAACTTGGATGTTTTTGTGGCAGATCCGCCTACATACGCAGCGGATGGGCGTAAGGATTGGCGAGACAATAAGCTAGGCAAGTGGACCGATTTTAGTCGCACAGAGACCATCTTCTGGGACTGTCCAGGGATTCATGCGAAGATGCTAAATACCCAACACATGGCGGACTTCGCAAGGATTTTCAAAGGCGCGATGAAAAGAAGGGGTGTTTAGTAAGGCGCCATGAATGCATGTATTTACTTGTTTATCTTTCCCCTTTCTAGATGCATAAACTTCTCTTGTCTACATATTTTGACGGAACACTGCCCTTCCATGAGCCCCCTTATAACGGTATAGCCGTGTATTGAAACGGGGAAATGAGACGGGCGAGTGATGCCAGCCATTTCTTTGAGGCATATAGTAAGACCCAGGAAGAATGTATTTCTGCCAATATGTTGGAAACGTGAGCGATTTGCGGTATTTTGTAAGCACAATAAGAAGTTCCCGCCGTGACTTCAACAATGCCCGTACCGATTGAGATATACACATATTATCAATTCTTTTACAGTTAGTCTCCATTTAAGAATGTATCAAATAGTCGAGAACGTTTCAGCTTCAGCTCCTAGATTATCTGCAATCATTCGCGATTGATTTCGAGCGAGTATCGATAATTGATTCAGTGGTAACGTTACATCATTTCCATGCTAATAAATTCAGAGGCAGAAGCACTTTAGTAAGTGAAAACCATACGAGTAAAAGATCTACGAGAGATCCTATTGGTGTCACCAAATTGGATCAATCCTTACTCCAGGACAAAATATATTTCAGCCTTGTGTATATTCGCTCTCCAATGAAGCATAATCTCAATTAAACTAAACCACATTGATCTTAGCCCAAGTCGAACATGGCAGCGTCGGTTCCGGAGAAAGGCGGTTCCTCTGGCGATTCAAAGCCTATTCTTTTCTTCACAGCCTTGCCTGGTGAGGGACACACGTACCCGCTCATTACAATCGCTGCCTCAATGATTCAGCGAGGATACCCAGTCTTCTTCCACGGCGGCGCTCAATTTGAAGCTGACGTCCGAGCCATGGGTGCCGAATTTAGTCTTATCCCATCCATGCTCGATCCTGTCCCAAACCCGGAGGCCGTCATGGCAGCAGGAAAAGCTATCACAGACTGGGGGGTCCCACTCTTTGTACACGGTCTAGTCAACTTTTGTTATAACACTATGTCTGTCCGAACCCAGCTTCTCGAAGACACCATCATACAGCTTAAAGAACAAAACCCAAAACATCAAATCATCATCATCCACGAGCTATGTAGCATGAACGTCACCCCATTTGCTTATGGCCGCCCTGTACCACAAGGCTTCACCTCCTTTCCAAAGACAATTGGTATCGGGGCCGTGAACATCTCCGCTCCAAGTTCTGATACTGCCCCCTTCTCCATGGGCCTACCCTATGACACATCACGCGCCTGTCGCCTGCGTAATAAAGAGCTGCACAAACTCGCTGACCGAGGCCCTTGGCTTCCTCTCTTTGAAGCCGCTCAGCGCGCAATGCGTGATTCAGGATGCACCATAATCCCAGAGGGTCATCCATTCGAATCGTGGTATGCTGCACCAGATGTATGCTTCCAGATGTGCAGCGCGAGCATGGAATATCCGCTCTCTGACATGCCGCCGAAGCTGCGATTTGCAGGATGTTTGCCGCCCAAGGTGTCAGGGAGCGACTTTGACACCCCAAGCTGGTGGGACGATGTCTTGACGAGTGCAGCAACAAAAGATGTGAAAGTTGTGTTCGTATCACAGGGCACGGCAGAAGTGGACTACAGTCAGCTGATAGTACCGGCTGTGGAGGCTTTTCGGGGCAGGGATGACATCCTTGTTGTGGCAACTCTCGGAATAAGGGGCGCCACACTAAGAGACGACGTTGATGTACCCAAGAATGCGCGGTGGACAGACTTTCTGGCTTATGATCGGATCTTGCCTTATGCCGACGTGTTTGTGTGCAATGCAGGATATGGGTCGACGAGCCATGCAGTGACAAATGGGGTACCAGCGGTATTGGCAGGGGAAGTGTTGGACAAGAAGGAGGTAACACTGAGGGCGGTCTATGCTGGATACGCATGGGATCTAGAATCGGCAACGCCAAGTGCCGAGCAAGTAAAGACCGGTGTTGAGGCTGTGCTGGCTGACAAGAGATTCAAAGACAGAGCGATAGAGTTGAAGGCAGAGAATGAAGGCATGGACTGCATGGATATCATAGAGAGGCAGATTATTGAGTTTGCAATTTGAGGTGCAGAACGCTTTGGCACGATGTCTGTGCTATGCTCCAAACGATTGTGGAAAGACTATCCAGAGAGATCGCCCAATCCATGAGTATCTAGTTAACCGTTTCCCCCAACACATGGCTCGACTATTCCGAATTATTTTCAGTGTTCCTATCTTATACTAAATGTTGAATATTTTCCGTGACCACCGCTTGTTGACTGATAATGCTCTTCCTTTGTCGCTCATGGGCAAACCGAACCCAATCCATAGTGTTCTATCCTTAAACACTTCTCCTTTCTCGATATCCAACCATAACACCGCCTTCTATAGTATTCGTTCCTTGTAACCAGGATAAATAGATCTAGGATGGGGATTGAGAGCTTGCGCGGATCCGAAGCGCCGTTGTCCATGTCGGGCTCAAATTTGCCTAAACACATGCCCTTATTTCGAGACCTGTTTCAACTTGTAAGAACTCGCATTGAAGCCTAGCCTGATTAAGCATTTCGCTTACCTGGTGTACTAATTACCTCTAGCTAGCCCTAAGGTTGAAATGTATTTATCCAGTCTCTCCAACTGTAAAGAAGTCAAAATTTGTCCGGAAGTCATATCGTTATCCCGAAACTGATGCCGAGTTTCACTCCCGGCCTGATCTTGCAAATCCCGACTCATGTGCCGGTCTCTCCGCTTCGAATCTGGTCATGGCAATGTTGATACTGACCTTGCGACGTCAAGCTAACAACCCGCTGCAGTGAATTGGACAGATATATAAAGACACATGTTGTACAGTCTTTCATAAGTAAATTCATCCGCTGAACTCATCTGCCCTTACAGATTGAGTCAATCAGAATGTCCCCTCTTACTAATGTTATACGCGCTATCATTGGAGCAACTGCCTTGTTCACTCTAGCTTATGCTGGCAAGACTCAGGAAGTGTCAAGCTGGGATGATAATCCATCAGGGTTGCCTGCTGCACTGGTTTACACACCTGACAAGATTTCCACGAAGCCCGCAATTATTCTTGGTGTATGTCCTTCGGCTCTAAAATACGTGCTTGTTTTTGAGACTAATGTAAACGATACTAGCTTCATCCCTGTGGTGGAACGGGTCAAATGTACATGCAGATGACACCCTTGTACCAATATGCCGACCGCCTTGGCTTCATTGTCCTCTTTCCAACATCGAAGTCTCAGAGTGGGATGAATTGTTGGGACGCTCACTCCACCAAGTCGCTTACACACAATGGCGGTGGTGACTCTCAAGGCCTTGTAGGCTTGGTCAACTGGGCTCTGAAAACATTTAGCGGGGATCCGTCAAAGGTTTTTGTTGTCGGCGGGTCGTCCGGTGCAATGGAGTCGAATGTTCTGGCAGCCACCTATCCCGAAGTCTTCAACGCTGCTGCTTCATATTCCGGCGTGCCCGCAGCTTGTTGGGCTGGCTCACCTATGTCGACGCCTATGTCTTCTGACTTGAGTTGCCCTCTAGGACAGAAGGCGTCTCGATATACTGGAGAAAAGTGGGGTGACTTGGCGAGGGCTTGTTATGCTGGTTATAATGGCACGCGACCAAGGATGATGATAGTCCACGGAACAGCAGATACGGCTGTCGTCATTTCCCTACTCAAAGCGCAGTTGGATCAGTGGAGTAACGTCTTGGGGCCGACGTTTTCAAAGAATGTCACAGATGATCCTATCAAGAATTGGAAGAAGATTGTTTATGGAGATGGCACCCAGCTTGTCGGCTATGAAGTGCAGCAGGGGGGGCACATACCTCCTTTTCAAGGAGACGCGACACTGAAGTTCTTTGGGTTGATGTGAGATTGAAGTATTTGTCTATTAAAAGTTTATCAAAGGCATTGATACCAAGCGTAATTTGTGACGCCGACACGTTTAGCTTCGTTTCTCGAAACCCAATGGCAGCAGTGCTCAATTGAGAGCCCGCCTTGCCATAGCCAGGTCCTCGATAGCAGCCAACCCATATAGAGCAGCATCGTTAGTGCTTAGCCAGGCTGCTTCATCAACAGATTGTAGGACTTGACTGCCGTTAATATTCTCAGTAGACCAAGCCGCAGATGGCTTCAAGCCATCACCGGTGAAAAATTCTGTCCAGGCACGTTGTGACAGTGTCGAGTTACCCAGCTTCTCCGCCGCGAAGGCAGTGAGACGGGAATGCCCTTGTTTGAGGCTCAGGTTACCGAAGCTTTCTCCATATCTTGCAGTCTGCTCGGCAGCAGTGGCCCCATAGTAATAGCAGTAGTCTAGCCACGCCTCTTCAAATCCTTCGGGTAGATCATCTCCATAATGTTCGACAATCTCCGCGATAACCTCATTCTGGCCAAAGACTGCCGACAAGTGAGAGACAGACACGACGCCATTGTTCTGAGGATCGCCGTATGGCGGTGAAAGAGTACCATTCTGGGGGTCGTACATAGCATCTCCCGTAACAAATCCATTCTTCAACTTGGCAATTCCAGTCAAAGTATTGGTAAGCTTAGATCTGGATTCTTCCCACCTCGGTCCCCGACGCTCCCATTCTATGAGCCATGAAGCTGCTAGTCCAGACCAATCCACACCTAGCTCGATGCTGACTGCTGTTGGACTTGGAAGATAACCATCGGTGCGGACTTTTCGCTGAGGATCGAGGATAATGTATGTCTGGTCTGCGTCGAGGGTCTCTTCAAGTATTTCCCCAACTCTTTCGTCTCCTCCAGAGATGTAGTAGAAGACCTTGCGGTACTGTGGCTGTGCAATGCGAGCTTGTTTAGCGCTATCTCCCCAGTGCTGCACTCCATGGCGCGTCCCAATACCTTTCCTGCAGCATTTGGAGTCAGTTATCAACGTATGTAGACAGTAGAAGTATAGGACAAGGTTAGCCCAAATTATAATGTGGCCTTGCCACTGATATCTGGAAAGTTGACCAGACTGGGAATGTAATCACTAAAAGTTGCTTACCAGGGCCCGATATG